TTTTTACAAAGATTTCCATGATACTCTGTTAGATGACAGCATGGATAAGTGAATTTACWATCAAAGTAGTTTAAATTGCTGTCTTCTCTCAGGCTTTGTTCTCCATGTTTGAATTTACACTGTTATTTTTCTTTGCAGCTCAGCAATACCTATATCCAGAGCCTCCCACAAATGAGGTGAGACATTTTATTTCTGTGTGAAACCTGAATGTAATTTACAAGGTCTTTTATTTCTTAAAGTTGTAGTTAATTAAATGAAAGAGCTTTTCTACMCACATTTCTACTGAGTATCACATTCCTCATACTACCAAGAAGACACAAATAGGACAGAGCTTGGGAAAAACAACATTTTCTTTGGTTTTCCCAAGACAGATTAAAAGAGCTTTATAAGTGGCATTTTCTAGCATAAAATTCAGAAATGTCTAAATAAAATCCAAACAAAATTGGAGTGAGACTTAGATTTCAGGCTTTCAAGTGCCTTGTATATGACCTTGCTTCTTCCTTGAACAAATRTATTTTGATTTGGATCCAGAGGACCCRGTGATTCCTAACTTCCAGTCCCYRTTCTTGTATTTTATCAGGACAGTGATTTCTGTAAAACTCTATTAYGTGCTCTCCTGACTTTCAAAATCTSACCCAGATGGCAGCTCTGAGAGCAGACAGAAAATGAACATAAATATATCTAACTGGGTAATAAGAATAAATACCTTGTCAATTTGGTTAATCTCAGGATTGAGCACTGAACATCTGGATATGCTTTATCTCAGGAGCTGGAAAACTCAAAATTCCAGCGTGAYACATCCCCACTGGCCCTGCTGGTGCAGAGTTTGACATTGCTGCCACCAGGATTGCTAACCTTGCTAAATGGTGAGCACTCAGCTGCTCAGGGCTGCTGTGGCCAGGCATTGGACAAGTTACATAATGCCTGCACCAGGTCAGCCTTTAACTTGGCACCACCRAGGTGAAAGATCAGCAAGGTCACCTATTGCATCACATGCCACTTGTCATTACCCCAGGATGATGTGCTGTCACTTCCTGCACTTCCCCAGCCAGCACTTTAAATTAGCCATAGATTTTTCTCGAATATTATATAATTATATAATTCAGAAATTTTTCTTGCTACATCTTAGGACAAAAGAATTGCTTTCAATCCATTGTTTCAAGACAATTTCTTTCATCATGGTTGTTCTCAAAAATCACACACCTTAAGATATGGACATATGGGAAGCATTTTGCCAAAAGGAAGGAATCTTAAGAAAGCAGAAAGATCTTGACAGAAATGATCTGCTCTTAAACTATGTGGCTGTTCCTTAGAATGGACAAATAAATGAGTAAACAATGAATCCATTCTTTGCTCTCTACAGCTTGTGTATCAGAGTTCCTTGATGGGGGTTGGAAGTACATGTTCTTTAAGGTCCTTTTCCACCCAAACTGTTCTAGGATTTATCCTGTGATTCTTCAAACTAATGCTCTTCTGGAGCAATTTCAGTGAAATGCAGCCCTTCTTGAATTCCCCAATACTTATAAATTGCAGAGTAATTCCATGGAAGGCACTGGATGATAAGGAAAGCTGTCAGTCCAGGGGCTCCCACAAACACCACGGGAAGTACTGGATGTTGGGACATCATCACAGAACTGACCTCACCAGAAAGGACAAGGTTTCAACTCACCTGACTCTCAGTTTGTTGTGTTSGGTTCCTAAAGACCCACAGATACAGAACCTGACATCTTTTAAGGATCCCATTTTGCAAAGTTTATGTAATGTCATATATTCTCTCCTTTTTGTCGTTGTTTTTAATGAATGTTTAAGGCTTCTTTCTTTAAAAGATAGTAGTTGTTTATGATCAAAGCACCTATGAAAAATCAACATGTGTAGAAAGGAGTAAAATCTTTTATTCATATTGATCTTGTACATAGATCTGGTATCATTGAATGTGTTCTCAGTCTGTCAGAGCCTGCTCAATGGAAAAGCACAAATTTTGTGTACTGCAAAAATCCCTCTGCAGTGTTATAGAGTGCTTAAGTCCCATAGAATGCCACATTTTTAAATACATTTTTTTTCCTGTGGCATTACACAGAGCACAGAAAAGGAAATTATCAACTTAAGAAAGAAGCTGGCTTGGGAACTCTTCAGTGTTTGAAGGGGAAAATCTAAGAGAAATGCAGTTTAATATTTGTGCTACAGCAGAAAGCAATGGTATTGTTGCTACAGGCTACATGAGTCACAGCCACCACAGAACAGCTCCTGTGGACAAYATGGTAAAGATGCCAGCTGTGAGGATAAAGCAAACCTGTAACAAGCAGCTCATAAATTAGTTGAATGCATCATTATCTTCCCAGAAACTTTTACTGAGGGCACTACCAGAAAWGGGGCCCACGACATGAGTTTTCCATGACAACAAAGTGCTGTAAAGATTTGAGCAAGGTGATTTCAGCTGATAGATGGCTATACTGGGAAACAAAATCTGTGCGTCACACCGAGTGATGCAAGAACATTATTATCAATTTTTCCTCAGCAGGATCTCTCCCACCAAATATTTTGCTAGACATCTTGTCTGCCTGTGAGCTGTAAAGCTGCTGGAAATCAGACTTTGATCTCATTCTCTAAGAGGTATTTGGGACCACAGCCACATTTCTCATTCAYTCGTGAGTCACCTGACCACTTGTGGGCTGATGAGGCATTTAATAGATCACTTGTTATATTTCATGGGGCCCTGGAGAAACACGTGGGTGCCTTGGCTTTCAGTGCTTTTCTGAACACGGTCTGGAGCTGGATGGCCAAGAGGACACCTGCCAGGGGACACTGCCACGCACCTCAACCTCTGCTGCCCTCAGGAGGTGAGACTCACAGGCTCCACAGTGACCACAAAAATCAGGGATCGTGTCACTTTTGCAGGAAATGTTCTGCCAAAAGCAGGGGGAGTAGAAAGCTGAGCTCTCTCTGCTCTTTGTCTTGAGTCATCCCTGGATCGCTCTCCACAGTCCTACTTGACTTCAGTGAGGAAAAATCCACAGGTGGAAACCAGGAGACTCAGTCCTCAGCTCATGGACCTGTGTGTAGGTGGCACATGACTTACTACAGATGTACTAATAATAATGAAAGAGAGAATAAGAGAGAGATTGCTAGGAAGGAAATAGAAATTAAACTTTAGTTTWATTTTCCAGTCATGTATTGCACAACAATCACATTCATTTTCRTCAAGAAAAATGCTTGGTCACTGTCATGTCAATAAATATATTTTATCTTTCATTCCTTGGATGTATTTAATTTTTTATTGCATTCTTACAGTTCTACAAACCCAACTGCTTGAGTTGTTGTGGATATTTTTTCTTAAGTATAGATCTGAAAGTGGTTAAACTGACATGTCTAACATTTCCCCAGCTGCGATGTCACAGTGTGCCTCCGTGTACTTGTTTCATTTTCAGTTTAAATAAAGTCGGTTTCCCAAGTGATTTTGTGGCTCTTGGACCCAGAAGTTGGCAGTAGTTTGGGCAGTTTGACACCCAGCTGCTGCTTCCTGCTCACTGCAGACACTGTCAGGTGCTGAATCACAGAATTGTTTGGGTTGGAATGGGTTTTAAAGATCACCAAATTCCAACTCCTTGCCATGGGCAGAGATGCCACCCATGAGATCARGTTACCCAGGAATGAGGGAGGCTCCTAACTTTCCTGCTCTCTCTGGATTGTTTGAATTCAAAGCTCTTTTAATTTAATATCGATGCATTTTTTTGCTTTTTGCACATAGGACTTACTTGTGAATACCTTTAACATCTATATTCAGCTGCGAGTAAAGTCAATTTCTGTCTATGCCCRAGAATATTGCACAAATCTTTATTCAGAATTGTTAGAGATAATGGATACTCAGTGGGGCATTTCCAGAAGTGTTACCAGTGCAAATGGCCTCATCTGGGACCCACGAGAGTGCTGTTCCCAGGACTGCTTGGAATCTCAGCTGGAATAGGTGCCCAGTCACCACATCCCTAACGAGAATCACCCACTCAAGCAGCCCGGTCTCGACAAAGCAGGGAGAGAAGGGTCTGTCCAAAGTGTTTGGAAGCATTTAGCCAGGAAGGGAAGGGACTGTCCAAAGGGTTTGGAAGCATTTAGCCAGGAAGGGAAGGGTCTATCCAACGGGTTTGGAAGCATTTAGCCAGGAAAGCTTTGGTGGTCTGGGAGCAGAGCTGCAAAATTTGCATTCCCATTGATGTGCACCCCTTTCCAATGCCAAAGTCGTGCAAAGTGGGGACCACAACTGYCATCTTCTCTGGAATTACCCGTAAAATATTTTGGGGACTCTGGGCTAAGTGACTAAATAGAGTGATAGAAAAGAAAAAGATTGGAGCTTCTTGCATAAGAATCAAAATTTTCTGTGAAGGTAATACAGTTTTGGCAATGGCAAAATTGCTGGCAAAGCAGAACCTTGAAAGGTTTATGAGCAGTAAGGAAGATACAATTGGTGCGATTTGTTTATTTTGATTTGTAACATTCCCTGGGGTTTTGCTACTATTTACACTTCTTAAGGAAAAGAAGTAACTGTGTGACCATACCAGGGCACAAGCCTGCCTTTTACCAGGGATCTGARTGCACTGTGGGTAACCAACCATATMATGCTCTGGGAACCTCTTAGAGTGACAACCAGCTGATATCAAGATCTGTTTTTGGCACAGACAAAGATAATCACAAGTAGGAGGCCATGAATAATCACAAGGATTTAGGTTTAGTTAGCCCTAAGCTGAGACAGAGAAAATAGACTAAACCAGCCTGCGGGACTGCCTCTCCCTCCCTGCAGGGTTTGAGCTCTYARCTGCYCACGAGTGGCCAGAAGTGGACACASAGTTTGTCAGCAGTGCTGGGACCCGATGGCTCAGGCACTTGGGACTGCTGATTGCCTGGCCAGAAAGGGAGGCAGCTTGGGAAGAACCCCGAGCAGCTGAAATGACCCCGTCTTTAGAAACTCCTACTGAAACTAGGGTTTAAAAGCTACTTTAATTAATCTGCAAGTAAACACATTCATACAGCAGTTATGACTTCCCCAGYGTCATTATGGCACTGTGACCTGAGGTGAACTTTGTGTTCTGTTAATAGCTCTGCAAATCACTGAGAAGACGCTGGGTACCTCCTCTTGGGGTGGAAAGACAACCTCAGGTCATTTCAGCTGGCCCAGGTTTAGGATTGTGGCTCTCACACCCTTGATCCCTGCTAAGCTGSAAGTCAGGAGGGTGATTTTTGCAAGAGAGGGCTGTCCCATCAATCACCTCCTCACAGCCAGCCCGRAGGAGATGAGGTATCACCCACAGTCACTGACTGCAACACAGGACACAGTCAAAATCCACACCAGGTGGGCGATGAATCCACAAAGTAGACACTGCTTCAGCCAAGAACAATTAAAAACAATTAAACAGCGAATAATTTAAAAMCCCTTTTTATTTAGACCAACACAAGAGCTAGATAGGATTTACGAGCTCAGTTTTTTGGTTGGAGAGCCAATGTGTACTTAAAGCACTGTCAGAGATGGAGAGGATACAGTCTGAAATACTGTGTTGTAATAATTTGTAAAACCGCATGAGACAGATTTTTTTTAAAGCAATTACTTCCTGTCCGTTCAGAGACAGATAAGCCCCCAGCTAAAATTCCTTTTCATTCCGGTGCTTGTAGCGATGAATATGAAATGTGATTTTCCTTCTAACGAATGCTTCAAAAAGCAAAACCAGAAATAGCATGTGCTTCTCTGTTATGGAAAATAGGTCTCAGCATGCTGGAAATTCTGTGTTTTACTTACTTTCTACCACAAATGCTCCATTTTTAAAGAAATGAGTAATGTAATCATTTTCTCTGATTTATGTTTTCTTTTCTGCCTCATTTGGCACTAATGCYGTGTTATTACAAGAACAACTGCTCTCTGCAAAAAGAATGATCTTTTAGTCTTCTCATCCAAAAYCTGTGAAGTCCCTGGGAAGGAGCTGCAGCGAAAGGCAGAGAGGCTGTGGACACGAGCAGCAGGTGAACACTTTCCCACTGACCAGGCAGATTTCCTTCTCATCTCCTGATGACACAGAGCTGCATTTTCCTACCCCTTCCCAAGCAAAAACTCTCCTCCAGGTAGGGTGCCAAGARCGTGACTGGCAGTTTTCAGAAACGATAATGAAACGTGGGTCAAACAGGGCTTAGTAGAGTCCCATGAGCACAGTCAGAGCCTGTGGATGTCTTYACTGGCGAGCATCCCTGGGATTCGACACGGCCGCCTGCACCCTCATCAGCATCAAGATCGCAGCGGTGCTAACGAGTGCCACAGCTCCCGAGCCCTCGAGGGTTCAGACATGTGCTGGCAAGCCGAACAGCAACGAGGAGCATCTTAACAATGAACTTGGAGAAGAATCGGCAGGGAATTAATGTCAGGCATGTGTAAAGAGGGTTACTTTTCCCATCTCCAACACCTATAATTACATCTCAAACGTGCTAATAAAATCCGGTGGATACAGTGGGGCTTTTTTCTCTGTGTCAAAGTTAAGCATGCTGCCGTGACGCCTAGGAAAAAATCAACTTTCTTACACTTCAAATCGCCATGCAAGCAGCAGAAGCGATGACGGTGTTCCCCGCTGGCTCAGAAGGGCTGAGGTGCGCTCCTGGCTCCCGGGGGCTGCCCCGGCCCYGCMGCCTCARAGGTGCGGGGCGTAGAAGGGGCCGAGGTACGCGGGGCCCAGGAAGGGAGCGAAGGGGCCGGCGCCCAGCGGGAACGGGGCGGCCGGCGGCACCAGCACGTTGGCGGCGGCGTACGAAGGGAAAGTCTGGAAGGGCAGAGCGGCGGGGCCCGGGGGGCTGGGGCTGCCGCCGCCCGCCGCCGCCGCGGGGGATGCTGCGGGGGCCGCCCCGTCGGCGCCCGGGTGCTGCTTCTTCCACTTGGTGCGGCGGTTCTGGAACCAGATCTTCACCTGCGTTTCAGTGAGGCTGAGGGACAGCGCCAGGCTGAGGCGCTCGCAGACCGACAGGTACCGCGTGGCTCGGAACTTGTTCTCCAGGGCCACCAGCTGCTCGTAGGTGAAGGCGGTGCGCGCCCGGCGCGGTTTCCCGCAGCCCGGCTCTGCCCTCCGCCGCCGGGCGTTCCGCGGCGAGCCCGGCTCCTCCTGCCCGGCCGGGCTCCCGGTGCCGGTCCCGTCCCCGCTCGGCTCCTCCTCGTCGCGCTCCTGCCCCGCGTCCTCGGTGCCGCTCTCCGCGGGGGCGTGCGCATCTAGGTGAGACCGCGGGGCTCGTCAGGAGATAGCGCTCCCTCCTCCCTGTCCCGCTCCGARCCCCGCGCTTCTGCTCCGACATCCCTCCCTCCCCCCGACATGAGAGCAATCATTTAAAATAAAATAAAGGGGAGAAAAATTCCGCCCGTCGTGCGAGAGCCCCCCYGCGTCCCCCGCCGTGCCACCGCATCCGCGGCGAGGAGGGGGGAGCCGTCGATATGGATTTCTTACCAATTAAAAAAGAAGTTATTAAAGTCCCCTTCTGAAGCGAAATAAATCCCCTCCCCCCGCTCCCCATCCCTGCGCTAATGGAGTTTCAGATTTGCGAGGGCCAGATCGATAGATGTCATCTATTAAAGGTAAGTTTTAATCGAACAATATTAGGATCAGGCCGGGGGAAGGAGGTTTGAAGTGGGCACCTGCAAGCTGCGGGCAGGAGATAGGCGGGAGTCGGTAATAGGATATCGATCACCGGGAGCTAAGGCATCCTCCGATGGGGACGGGCTGAGCAATTACCCAGCCGGCCGTCCCGCGGGCCGGGGCAGCCGACCGGGGAAAGGAGAGCCCGGGGGCCGCCCTTGCGGGGGGAAAAAAACCCCGTGCGGTGCCTCGGTAAGCGCCGCGGCCCGTCCGGCGCCGGGATGGGACGGCGGCGCTCCGGTGTGCGCCCTCCTCCTCGGGCAGCAGAGGATGCTGCGGGAGCCGGACAGGGCACATGGATATCGACAACTTTCCCTTTACACCATCAAGRCTSMAAATCTAGTTCCAACCCCATTCCCWCKCTCCTTTGGGACCCCGCGCGGGGAGCGCGTCCCGCCGGGTGCGGGGTCGGGGGTCCCCTCCTGCCGGCTCCTCCACCTGCGCGCCCCGCCAGCGCCGGCCGGAGAAACGCGAGCGCGTTCCTACCATGTGCCTCTAGTTTATTCCTCCCGCTGCCGGGAGCAGCAGCGTCCTTTCCTACTTCAACTCTTCCCAAACTTTTCTCCCGCTCGTTGGAGCGGGGGGCGCTGCCCCAGCTCCCCGCGGCCGGTTCGCGTCTTCTGCTGAATTTCTGGGGATCCAGGATGTCTAAGATGGAGAAGGAGATTTTATGATGGATGGGGGCCGCCTTGGCCCCGCGGTCCGGGCATTCCGGCATCCCACCCCACCCTCCGCGCTTGCCGGAGACCTGCTGGCTCCCAGCGCGGAGCCGGCGGAGCGCAGCGCCGGGCGCGGAGCCGGGCCGCTCCCGAGCCGCACGCTCGGAGCTGGCGGCGCGGAGTGAGCGGCGGGGAGGAGGGTCGGCCGGGGAGGCGGAGGGGCCGGCGGCGGGGTGGGGGCAGAGGAGGGGGCAGCGCAGCCATTGGCACGCCGCCCCCGCGCCCCCTCCCCGCCGCGCTGGCTCCGCGGGGGCGCAGCGGGCGCCTCCCTCCATCCCAACCTCCCGGTGACGGGGCTTTCCCGTTACCTGCTCCCGGTTGGGCAGGGGAACGCGCAGAGAGGTGGGCTGGGGGAGCCCCGGACACCCGAGCCGGGCCCTCCTCCAGAGCAGGGATGCGGCTGCACAGGGCAGCCCGACGGCAGCTGGAGTGCCCCGGGGCCCGGAGAGCCACCGGCTGCACCTGTCCCCTCACCCTCCGCTGAGCCACCTGCAGCTCCCCTGGTCAATGCGGGTCCAGCGGGGTGAGCCCCGTGTTCAGAGTGACCCAGGGAGGAGGGMCGGCTCCTGCATCCCTCTGCTGTGCTGGGCAGGACCCAAGCTCCAAGAGCTGTTCAAGATGTGAAGATATTGCCTGGTCCTCAAGGATAAATCAGCAGCTTTTCGTTTGGGAGCAGCTTGGGATCAGTGTGGTTCAGACTCTGGGCCAAGCTCCTGCAACTCACCTGTGGTGTTCACGCTGTTCCCAGTCAGCAAGCAGGGAAACTGAGGCCTGCCTGTGCTGGATCTGTTCCTTTCCCCTAAACCTCCTTGTCTCAGGGGAAACACTTTGTTTTCTGTTCATWTCTGTAACTGGGACAGGGTAGGTGACAGCCAGCCCGGCTCTCCACTCCACACCAGCCCCATGAGCACTTGCAGCCAGCCCTGCTTATTGAAAACATGTCAGCAGTGTATTTCTGCACACCTCTGTCTGTTCAGGGGGATGCTTTTCCCTCTTTTTAGCATTTCAACATTTGTTGGTGCCACAAGTTGTCAGACAGATAAGGGAAAGGCATCCCTCAGCCAGTGAAAGGCAATCCTTAATAGGATTCTGCTACTCCAGCTCTTCTGTTCCTGAGGAAAGATGCAGAGCACAGCCCTCCTCCTCCTCACAGCTATCTCAGCCTCGGCAGAATTGGGCTCACAAATAATTCTTGGCATAGGTTTTAAGATAAGTGAAGAGCAAGAAGATGATGATGTGATTAAAAGTAACWGTTACTGTTAATTAYATGGTGACTGWCAGTGTCCAAGAGCCCATTTGGCAYCGTCCTCTGGGGTRGAACATCACAAAAACATAGAGGAGAAGGAGRTTGTGGCCCAGGGAGTTCATACACAGAAGCTACAGGTGGCTAAAACTTGTTTTTGGGGATGCATGAGGTTGTGAACTGGGAAAAAAATCTGTGGGACTACAAAGCTCTGTTTGAGTTGATAGGTCAGCAGGAGATGAGGAAGTGAATTGCAGCATTGAGATTAATCTGTGAACTACAAGACATCTTCAAACATCATCAGTTTCAAACATGTGTATGCACACAACATCCGAACACACGTGCGTGTGGAAAGGCACACACTCATGGATTAGTTCCAGCATTCTCCACTTGGTCCATTTCCCAGCTTAGGCATTAAAATTCAGCCCAAGTGCTGTCTCTAAATTGCTTTGATGCTAGGTGGGTTTCAACCCTGACCTGTCCTGACGGCAAGTGATGGCTGTAACAAGCTGTGGATCAATATTCATAGCGGGTGTCCTGGGCTGATAACACTATCCAAGACAATGTTCACTATCGCTGTAGACAGCTGAGATATTGTGCCATTAGTAATGTTGTTTTAAATAACCTGATCCATTTCTGGGTCTATTTAATGAATTTCACAGTTTAGATATTATCTTTAGGGAGAAGCCAGAGGCTSTTCCAGAAGCGCTGATGCAAATCAATGCTGCCAAGACTCCTCTGCTTTCCTTAAAACAAAATGGACTATAATTCCACCACAGCTCCTTATATATTCTGAGAGTCAAGGCATGCTATTGATGGCATTAGCAGGGAGAAGATATTTGGGAGAAAACAATGCTCTCTGTAAAGCTGGAACACAGTTGATAAAATCTTATCTGTGATTGTAGAATTCTTTATATGATGATTCAGTGGGGTTCTTTTYCTTGGTTGTCATGTGAATCATCCAACTGTTTGGGTAGGGAGGGATGTTAAAGATCATCTAAATTTYCCC